TGCTGGGCTGCTTGCTAACTGAAAGTTCAGCAGTTCAAGCCCACCCGCAACTACATGGTGAAAAGACATGGCTGTCTGCTCCGTGAAGCTTCCACAGATTAAGACTCTTCCTGTCAAGTCGTCCCCAACTCATAGAGACCCCGTGTGATGGGGCAAAACTGTCCCAAAGGGTTTCCCCGGCCACTATCTTACTCAATGCAAGTGGACCTCCAACAGCTTCTTTCTTCTTCAGAGCAACTGGTGTGCTCAAACCACCTAACTTTGCCTTGCCAACCCAGTGCTCAGCCACCTCCCCAGCAGGGCTCGCTGTGTCGACTCCATCCTCCAGGTTGGCTGGGGTTGGAATCAGCTCAGTGGCAGTGGGTTTGTTTGGGGTTGATGGGGATGGGGGTGGGGAAGAAAGACAAGACCGTCTGTTGCTGTCTAAGTTGCAGCCTCGGAGGTCCAGTGAGAAGCTCTCCACTCTCTCCACTCCACACTGTGAGTCTGAATCCACTCGAGCCTCGTGGAAAGTGGCAGAAGAACCCCTGCATCATCAGTAAACCAGGACTCAAACCTGTTGCCATGGAGTCAGTTTCAATTCACAGTCATCCTACAGTAGGGTCGAGTACAGCCTGCCTCAGAGGGTTCAGAATGTCAGTTTAAAGACTAAGGTGTGTCTGACCCAAGCCACTTATCTCCAGTTGCTTTGCATGCATGTGGAAGTTGGACAATTAATAAGGTTGAAGAAGAGATGCCTTTAAATTGTGGTACTGGCGAAGAGTTTTGAGTAGCTCATCGACTGCCAGATGGATGGACAGGCCTGTCTCAGAGGAAGTACAACCAGGGAGTGCTCCCTAGAGGCAAGGGGGATGAAATTTCGCCTCACATCCTTCGGGCATGTTGTCAAGAGAGGCCAGTCCTTGGGAAAAGATAATCAAGCTGGGAAAGGTGGAGGGTCAGAGAAACGGGAAGTCCCTCAGCGAGCTGGGTTGACACAGAGACTCCAACGATGAGCTTATGCAGAGTGGAGACCGTGCGAACAAGACTAGACCAGGTTCCGATCTGCTGTGGGGCTGTGTGTTGCGATGGATCCGGTGACACCCAACAGCTCCCCAGAACCCTGGGGCTCGAAGCTGTGACTCTTCATGGACGCAGACTGTGTACCACATCTTTCTTCTGTGGAGCAGCTGGTGAGTTCGAACCACTCACCTTTCTGTTAGCAATCCAGTGCTTAGTCACTGCACCACCAGAGCACCTCATTATTCTATGATAATAATTGTTGTTGTTGTTGTTGTTGTTGTTGTTATGTGTTGTCAAGTGGCTTGCGACTCATAGCGACCCTATGTACAACAGCCCTAAACTCTGCTCTGTCCTGTGCCAATCACACTGTCTCTGACACTCCCATCCCGATTACCCCAGTCACTGAATCAATCCACCTCATAGAGGGCCTTCCCCTCCTGCGCTGTCCGTCCACCCTCCCAAGCATGATGTCCTTCTCCAAGGACCGGTCTCTCCTCACAACATGTCCAAAGTATGTTAGACAGAGCCTCAGAATCCTTGCCTCCAAGGAGCCACCTGGTTTAACCCTTTCGAGGACGAATCTGTTTGTTTTCCTAGCAGTCCATGGTATTCTCAATACTCTTCTCCAGCACCACAGCTCAAAGGCATCAATTCTCCTTCTATCCTCCTTGGTCATTGTCCAACTCTCTGATGCATAACAAGTAATTGTGAAGACCATGGCCTGTATCAGACGCACCTTAATCTCCAGAGAGACACCATTGCTCTTCAGTACTTTGGAGAGGTCTCTAACGGCAGACTTTCCCATGGCAATGCGCCTTAATAATTATTCTATGATAATAATTCTGACCCACAGACTCAGGGGGTGGAATAGCACTGCTTCACAGACTCTGCGAGCTGGGTGGTTTAAACCCACCAGTTGTTCCACAGAAGAAAAGAGAAGCTGGAGGTCCATTTGCATGGGGAACCCTCTGGGACAGTTTGGTATTGTCACACGGGGTCACTAGACTTCAAAGAACATGAGGTGCTCCCTCCAGGGGAGCTTCTGATAACATCATCACAAGAAATGTGCTCCACACACCTTTCTCAGGTCCAGCACTGCCTGTCCTGGGGCTCCCAGTCCCACTGCCAAGAGATGCAATCAAGCCTTGATTCTCAACAACCTGGACTCAAATTCTAGTCTTCTCCCCAGTGCTGTGTGAGCGCAGGCCCATATCTCCCTGTGCTTCAGTTTGCTTGCGATGCACTGTATCGCGATACACTGTCCCTTCTGTGGTACATTTGAGGCCAGATGTGCCCGGCCTTCCAGGACTGATGCCACTGTCAGTTGCCCTCGGTTGGCTCTTACCGTTGACAACCCCATTCTCCACAGAACATAACACTGTATGTTTGAAAGCACTCGCCACAGGAGAGCGAGGGCTGGGATCAATGCCACCTAGCCAAGGAGAGCCTTTGGTTAGTGACTTCAGCTCTCTGGGCCTCAGTTTCCCCACCTGTCAGTTATGGTTGCTGGTTCCCATTCAGGGCGACTCCACGGTCAACAGAACAACAAGGCACCCACTCCAGCACCACCTTCACCGTCACCAGTCGGCTCAAGTCCAAGGTTGGGGTCACTTCATGTTTCGAGTGTCTTCCAGCACTCCACTGGACAACGCTCCCCTGCGATCCTCGGCGTTCCCACAGGCTGGCCTCTGGAGACAGGTCACCGGGTCCTTCCTTCGAGCCTGTCTTAGCCCCAGAGGCCCCTTGGATTCCCCCTGGTGATGCTGCTGGTATTTGAAGAGCGGGAGGCCTTGCTTCCAGCATCACAGCGCCACAAGCAGAGGGATTGAGCGTCCTATCATTTATAACACCCCAGCGGGTCTTCCACCCTAATCAAGCCCGGGACTCTTTCTAGAGTGAAATAGTCACGCGAACAGGATCAATATATGCTTTAAACAGCTCCGCCGGCATTCTGATGAGGTGTCTCCACCAAATGGGATGAGTGCCAGAGAGGAGGAAGAAATCTTCCTGTTTGAAGAGCTTTATGGATTCCTGGCTAGCAGGAATTGAAAAAGGAGTGGTGCTAAGGGCCTGTCTCGCTGGGAGTTATCACCCATAAAGCACTCGGAACAGGCCTGGCTCCGAGGCGGCGCTTGATATGTGAGAGCCGCCGAAGCTGCCTGTCTTCATCTTTTGTGCTGAGTTAGAATTTCCATGCATATAAGAAAACGAGGGAGCTCTGGTGGCCTAGTGGCAAGAAGCTGCGCTGCAATCCCAAAGGCACATGGTTCGAAGCCATCAGCTGCTCCATGAGACAAGGATAGGCAATCTCCCCCACCCCACCCTATGCTAGTGCAATTAACTGTCTCTTAAAACCTGCTGGAGGGTCAGCCTTGGGTCAGTTCTGACTCGATGGTACACAATAACAACATAAAAAAATTACACCCATTTTAAGTTAACAGATGGGGGGGCTAGACAATTGTATACAGCCATGGGGCCACCACCTCAAGGGAACACGCCCATCACTCCAGGAAGTTCTCCCCATCCTGCGTATCTGTCTCTCTCACAGACCCACAAGCACACACTCAGAAAATGACTACATACTTCTAGACCATTCCAGGAATGCAATCCGACCACAGGTACTTTTGCTCCAGAGAGTGTCATTGAGCTTCACCCAAGTTGAGCATGTCAACGTTATTGTGATGGTTGAGTTGTCGCCAAGTTACAGGGACCTTCTGCCCCACAGAACAGTGTTGCACAGCGCGGGATCATCTCCACGAACAGGGGCTACGCCTGAGTCCGTGGCTGTGGCCACTGTGTACGTCCCCAGTGGATTTCATTTCATTCCACTGCATGGAGTTTGTTCATTCCTTAAGCTGGTGTATGTCTGACTTATTTCCAGGTGGGGCTGAAATCAGACATATGCCGTCGTATCTCTTGCATCAACACCCAAGAGTCGTGTGGCCACGTCAGACAGTAACTTTATGCTGGACTCCGTAAGACGCTCTTTTCCAAAGCGGTTGTACCAGCATTTATCCCCCATCAGCAGTAGGCAGACAGTCTCATGGCTCCACACCCTTAACAGCACTTGTGGACAGCAGTGTGGTTTTCATTTTGCTATGATTTTTGTTTTAAGGTTGTTATTGTTGCTGTTTCACAATCACTAGGATTCTGAGGCTTTGTCTGACATGCTTTGGATGTGTTGCAAGGGGGGACCAGTCCTTGGAGAGGAACGTCATGCTTGGGAGAGTGAAGGGACAGCACAGGAGGGGGAGAGCCTCGATGAGACAGATTGATTCAGTGACAGGGGTAATGGGGGTAGGTGTGCCAGAGACAGTGAGATTGGCACAGGATAGAGCAGAGTTTAGGGCTGTTGTACAGAAGGTCGCTCTGAGTTGCAAGTGATTCGATGGCACAGAACAACAACAACAACAATATACTGGAGAAGAGTATTGAATATACCATGGACTGCTAAGAGAACAAACAGGTTCATCCTAGAGAGGGTGAAGCCAGGCTGCTCTTTGGAGGCAAGGATTCCGAAGCTCACTCTGACAGACTTTGGGCATGTTGTAAGGTGGGATCAGTCCTTGGAGAGGGACGTCATGCTTGGGAGGGTGGAGGGACAGCGCAGGAGAGGAAAGCCCTCGATGAGGTGGATTGATTCAGTGACTGGGGGTAATGGAGGTAGCTGTGTCAGAGACAATAAGATTGACACAGGACAGAGCAGGATTTGGACTGTTGTACATAGAGTCGCTCTGAGTCGCAAGCGATTTGATGGCACATAGCAACAACAACAATATACTGCAGAAGAGTATTGAATATACCATGGACGGCTAAGAGAACAAACAGGTTCATTCTAGAGAGGCAGGTGTGTCAGAGACAGTGCGATTGGCACAGGATAGAGCAGGATTTAGGGCTGTTGTACATAGGGTCGCTGAGTCGCAGGCCACTTGATGGTATATAACCACAACAACAGTAGTATTAGGACTGATCGGTGTCTCTCTCCACCTCCCACCCAGGTGATCCGGACGGACACGTTCAAACACCTGCGGCACCTGGAGATCCTGCAGCTGAGCAAGAACCTGGTGCGGAAGATCGAGGTGGGCGCCTTCAACGGGCTGCCCAGCCTCAACACGCTGGAGTTGTTTGACAACCGGCTGACCACGGTGCCCACGCAGGCCTTCGAGTACCTGTCCAAGCTCCGCGAGCTCTGGCTGCGCAACAACCCCATCGAGAGCATCCCCTCGTACGCCTTCAACCGCGTGCCCTCGCTGCGCCGCCTGGACCTGGGCGAGCTCAAGCGGCTGGAGTACATCTCGGAGGCGGCCTTCGAGGGTCTGGTCAATCTGCGCTACCTCAACCTGGGCATGTGCAACCTCAAGGACATCCCCAACCTGACGGCCCTGGTGCGCCTGGAGGAGCTGGAGCTGTCGGGCAACCGGCTGGACCTCATCCGCCCGGGCTCCTTCCAGGGCCTCACCAGCCTGCGCAAGCTGTGGCTCATGCACGCCCAGGTGGCCACCATCGAGCGCAACGCCTTCGACGACCTCAAGTCGCTGGAGGAGCTCAACCTGTCGCACAACAACCTGATGTCGCTGCCCCACGACCTCTTCACGCCCCTGCACCGCCTCGAGCGCGTGCACCTCAACCACAACCCCTGGCACTGCAACTGCGACGTGCTCTGGCTAAGCTGGTGGCTCAAGGAGACTGTGCCCAGCAACACCACGTGCTGCGCGCGCTGCCACGCGCCCGCCGGCCTCAAGGGGCGCTACATCGGCGAGCTGGACCAATCGCACTTCACGTGCTACGCGCCTGTCATCGTGGAGCCGCCCACCGACCTCAACGTCACCGAGGGCATGGCGGCCGAGCTCAAGTGCCGCACGGGCACGTCCATGACGTCGGTCAACTGGCTGACGCCCAACGGCACGCTCATGACGCACGGCTCGTACCGCGTGCGCATCTCCGTGCTGCACGATGGCACGCTCAACTTCACCAACGTCACGGTGCAGGACACGGGCCAGTACACGTGCATGGTGACGAACTCGGCGGGCAACACCACGGCCTCGGCCACGCTCAACGTCTCGGCCGTGGACCCCGTGGCTGCGGGAGGCGGCGGCGCGGGGGGCGGCCCCGGGGGCGGAGCTGGCGGCGGAGGCGGAGGAGGAGGTGCAGGAGGAGGCTACACCTATTTCACCACCGTCACCGTGGAGACGCTGGAGACGCAGACCGGCGACGAGGTGCTGCAGCCGCACGGCACCGAGAAGGAGCCCCCGGGGCCCACGACGGACGGCGCGTGGGGCGGGGGCCGGCCCGGGGAGCCGGGGGGCGCGGCCGCCTCGTCCACCACGGCGCCGGCGCCGCGCTCCTCGCGGCCCACGGAGAAGGCCTTCACCGTGCCCATCACGGACGTGACCGAGAACGCGCTCAAGGACCTGGACGACGTCATGAAGACCACCAAGATCATCATCGGCTGCTTCGTGGCCATCACCTTCATGGCCGCCGTGATGCTGGTGGCCTTCTACAAACTGCGCAAGCAGCACCAGCTCCACAAGCACCACGGGCCCACGCGCACCGTGGAGATCATCAACGTGGAGGACGAGCTGCCCGCCGCCTCGGCCGTGTCCGTGGCCGCCGCCGCCGCCGTGGCGGGCGGGGGAGGCGTGGGCGGGGACAGCCACCTGGCCCTGCCGGCCCTGGAGCGCGACCACCTGAACCACCACCACTACGTGGCGGCCGCCTTCAAGGCGCATTACAGCAGCAACCCCGGGGGCGGGGGCTGCGGGGGCAAGGGGCCGTCGGGCCTCAACTCCATCCACGAACCTTTGCTGTTCAAGAGCGGCTCCAAGGAGAACGTGCAAGAAACGCAGATCTGAAGCCTCCTCGTAGGGGGGGGACGGGCCGGACTCACTTGGGACCCCATCAGCGGCCCTGGCCCGCCGCCGCCTGTCCACCCACCCAGCCCGCTGCACCCGGACTCCACCGGAGGCCGGCGGGGCGCGCACGGGGCCGCCCCCAGGAATGGCTCTGCGAGGGCTTTTTCTTCCGCTCGCTCCCGGCAGCGAGGACGATTGGGAAGGGCCTGGACCTGGGCTTTATTGCTCCGCGCTCTCCCACCACCTAGCCCAGCCCTTCTTCCAGGGAAGAGAGGAGCTTTTTTTTTTGGAGGGGTGTCCTATCCCTGCGCCCCCCCACCCCCACTACAGCCCTTCTTTTTACAGTTTTTTTGTTTGTTTGGTTTTCAGTTTGAAGCCTGACCCTCCCTTCCTCTCTCCTTCCCTTCCCTCCCTCCCTCCCCCTCCACCCCAGAAACTGAAGAGACAGAACGCGTGGTCCGAGCCTCCTCCTCGAAGCCCTGGCCCCTCGACACTCTGGCCCCTGTCTCCCACCCCCCCCCCCCCCCAGCGCTGAGCTCCGCTCCGCTCCGCCCCTTGTCCCCCTTGACTGAGGAGGGACAGCCCAGCCCCACCTGGTGGCCCTCGACCCTGCCCTAACCCCGCCCCCCACAAACTCTTTTGATACTGAAGGGAGGTTTGCGTCAACGACTACCTGCTCTGTAATTACTTTAAAAAAAAAAAAAAAACCACGGAAAAGTTAAAAAAAATAATTTTTTGGGGGGATTATGAAAGCATGAAGAAGAGAGGAAACAAAATGGAAATAGAATAGTGTGGGGGTAGTGTGACAGACTGAAATCCCCAGTGTCTGCAAAACCCAGAAGGAGCACCTGGTCCCCCCACTCCTGACTCAAGGTCCTGGAGGGATATGCAGGCCCCTCAGTCCCAGCGGGGCTTTGGTAGCCTCCTCTGTCCCCCTCACTTCGCAGAGCTCCTTTAAGAGGCTCTCACATTTTGTGCTACACTACTAGCTACTAACTGAAGAGTTGGTGGTTCTGCACAAGGGCCTGGGGATCAGCTTTCCGTAGAGATTATGGTTGGGTGGGCTGGCCTGCGAAAGGTTTGGTTCTTTTGGTCTCACTTCACACCTGGGCGTGATGTCCCCACCCTAAAGTCCCTGGAGGCACTGGTGCGACCACAGAAAGAGGGTCAGGTGGAGGTTGAGGGACACAGACTGCAGATGTAACCGTGGAGCACTGGGGAAGCTGGGTTTGCAACTTATTTTTGAGCGAAGACACACAGGTCAGGAGACACTTCCCCACCCTTGGAGAAGCTAAGAGACAAGGAGAGGGGACACTGCAGCTTAGAAGGTCCCCCAGGCTGCTGACCAGAGCCCTCTCGGCCAGAGGCAGTGGTGGGGCAGGGAGAGGGAATGGGGAGTGTGTGTGATGTCTGAAGGAGCCCCATGTCTCAGCAGAGCGCAGCAGATACCGGTAAGTACGCAGGGCAGGGCTATGCGCGCATGCGGGAGCTTTTCCAGAGAGACGATAAAGATACAGGGTGACCAGAGCCGAGACCCCACAGGCCTGACAATCACCCTCTTCCCCCAGCCAAGCAGGTTCCCCCAGTGAGGCTCGAATGAGAACCGTGGAGTGGGAGCAAGTGGGCCCCAAGGACCCCTCCTGCTTAGGACTGTTCTCCCCGCCCTCACCGCATCTTATCTTGTCCCACCTAGGGCTTTTCACAGCACATTCTCCCCATATCAGCATCCTCCACTCCGCACCAGCCTCCCCAGGCGACAAGATGTCTGGGGTCTCGGGCCCTATCAGCCCACGACCAACTGTCTGCCTCTGCCACCGCTGGCTGTCCACTTGGGACTCTGGGCGCCCCCCTCCTTCCCCACCCCCAGCCTCCCTTTCATGCTCTCTTTCCCTCTTGGTCCCTTTCAGCGCGGATCCTGGTTGCCATGGAAACACTGCAGCGGGTACCAGGTGGTGGTTGGGGGCAGGGCGCGAGGCTGCGGCAGCCTTCGGTGCCAGGCACCCGAGAGGGGAGAGGCGCAGTGGCCAAGCAGGGAGCATTCTGGGGAGGGTAGGGGAGCACTCAGAGACTCCCCGAGCCTCAGGCCTTCTCCTTGACCCCCGAGAGGTGGAAAGAGGGAGGGACGTGGCGTGGGGGTGAGGATGCAGTCACGAGGAGAGGGGGCTGGTGGCATCGAGGCAGAAGGGAGAGTGAGTGGAAGGTGGAAAGTCAAGGTGATCTGAAGGGCACAACGAGGAAGAACTGCGGGTGCAAGGAGGTGGGGTGACGGGACGTGGGGGTCCCTGAGGCAGAGGCGCGGTTTGGACAAGCTGTCGAGGCCAAGACGGCCAGGCTGAGAGAAAAGGCCGAGAACCCAGCTGGGGACAGGACTGCTAGGGACAGGGACAGAGACGCTAAGAAGAGAGGCTGAGGCAGAGGAGGGATGGAGGAAGAGATCCAGACAGAACAAGGGGTGAGGAGGTCCCCGGAGCCGGCATGGACATGGCTGCATCAGCTTTAGTTATTCCTGAATTTTGTTTTATGGACAAGAAGCCCAGCAGTGCTAAGTGGAAAGACCCCCAAGAGCAAGACAAGCGAGCCCAGAGTCCCCTCTCCAGCCCGCTCAACCCCCGCCCCAAGCAGGATGCTGTTTCCATGACAACCTGGCGCCCAGAGGAGGGCGGGAGAGACTGCGGAGGAAATTTTCCACAGCGGCAGGGAGGGCGGGCGGAGGGGGCCAGGCAGAGGAAGGCCGCCGACGGCGCGGGGGCCACTTGGGGCTCACACACCCCCACCTCGCAAATGCACAAGTACAGGAAAGGGTCCTCGCCCCTCCCCATCCAGCAAACCCCCACCCCCAGTTCTGGGCTGTGGGGGAGGTTCCGAGAAAACCAAGGGTCAAATGTCCAAAGGTTAGCTGCTGCTCGGGCCTGGGGGGTGGGGGTGGCAGGCAGCGGCAAGTGGAGCTCAGACACGCGCCACCAGATCCAAGCAGCATGGCCGTGGACAGGGTGCCCCGGAGGGTGGGGGTGGTGGGCTATGGCCGGTTAGGTGAGTGTGAGCCTCATGGCCTAGTCACCAGTTAATGGGCAGCACCCACCTGTCCTGTCCGTGCCCTGCTTGTGCTCCCGCCCACACCAGCTTTCTGGGGTTCAGTTCTGATCTCTAGGTCACTGTCCTCTCTCTCTGGGTCTCTGTCCCCCTCTCTCTGTCTCTGCCCCCACTTCTGTCCTTTTCTCTCTGTGTGTCTCTGTCCCCCTCTCTCTGGGTCCCACCCCTGGGTCTCTGTCCCCCTCTCTCTCAGTCTCTGTCCCTTCCTGTGTCTGTCCCTCCCTCCCTCTCTGTCCCCCACTTCTGGGTCTCCGTCCCCCTACTCTGGGTCTCTGTCTCCCTCTCTCTGGGTCTCTGTCCCCCCATCTCTGTCCCTTTCTGTGTCTGTCCCTCCCTGTCTGTGTCTCTGTCCCCCTCTCTGTCTCCGTCCCCCTCCTCTGGGTCTCTGTCCCCCGGTTCTTTGTCTCCTTCTCTCTCTGGATCCCTTTCTTAGGCTTTAGACCACTCTCTCCCCAGGACAATCCCTTGTCTCCCACCTGCTGACTCAGGGGCCAGAACTGGGCCTAGAACTTGCGTTTGTCTGGAATCGGGACCCAGGAAGAATGGCAGGGAACGTGCCTCTTCCCCTGCAGCTGCAGGACCTCAATGCCCTTGGGGAGAGGTCAGTGACCCTGCCAGGGCCAGACAGGGCTCCCTGAAACTTCTGCTCTGCCTTGTCTGGGGCTGTGCCATGTCAACTGAGGCCCTCGCTGGGTGTCTGTTTCACGCACGTGAGGGGGGGGTGGGAAGAGGGTATGCACCGGCCTGTGGAGGCATGGGGGGCTAGCCCTACTCTCAGGCCCTCCCCCGTCTCTCCATTCTCCCAGGCGCCCCGATCTGGTGGTGGAAGTGGCCCATCCCCAAATAATCCATGATTCTGGGGCCCACATCCTGCGTCATGCCAGTCTGCTGGTGAGACCCTACCCACCTGGAACCCCAGGACACCAACCCTTCTGCCCTGACCTCCATTCCTAAGCCTGACCTGGGCGCCTCCCCCTGCTCAATGCGCCCCAGGTGGGGTCCCCCTCAGCTCTGGCGGACCCGGCTACTGAACACCAGCTCCGAGAGGCGTCCCACCGCTGGGGCCACGCTGTGTTCGTCGCCCGGGGGGCCTTGTGGGGATCGGAGGACATCACCAGGCTGGACGCAGCAGGGGGCCTTCAGGTCAGGCCGTCAGGACCTGGGGAGGGGGCTGCAGAGACTCCGCCCCCGGCCGCCCAAGCTCCCTTCCCTTCCCCCCTTCTCCCTGCAGAGCCTCCGAGTCACCATGGCCACGCACCCCGACGGCTTCCGCCTTGAGGGGCCCCTGGCCGCGGCCTCCAGGACCGGACCCCGCACGGTGCTCTACGAGGGTCCGGTGCGGGGACTGTGCCCATGGGCCCCCCGTAACTCCAACACCATGGCGGCCGCAGCCCTGGCCGCCCCTAGCCTGGGCTTCGACCACGTCGTCGGGGTGCTGGTGGCCGATGACAGGTGAGCCCGGCCAAGCGGGGACGCGGAGGCCAGAGCCAGGCCCGCCCGGCTGACCGCCCTCCCGCCGCCCCAGCCTCCCGGACATGCACGTGGTGGAGGTGGAGCTGAGCGGACCTCTGGGCCCCAGCGGCCGCAGCTTCGCCGTGCGCACCCGCCGGGAGAACCCGGCCGAGCGGGGCGCGGTCACCGGCTCGGCCACGGTCACCGCCTTCTGGCGCAGCGTCCTGGGTGAGGCCCGGCGCGCGGGGTCTCGGCCCCTGTACTGGAGGCTCCTGGGCTGATTTCTACGTGTTTTCAAACTTTGTATCGGTCTCTCGATCCACGTCCAGCTCCTGGGACTCTGGCCCCCTCTCTCTGGGTCTCCCTCCGTCCCCGATCCTGTGGGTCTCTCCCTCTCTCTGGGTCGCTGTCACTGTCTCTGATCTGTGTCCCCTCCCTGTGTCTGCTTCCTTCTCTGGGTCTCTGTCCCCCGCTGTGTGTTTCCTTATCTCTGAGTCTCTGTCCTCTCCTTTCTCTCTTGGGCTCCTGTTCCCTTCTCCCTGACTCTCACGGCCCCTCCAACCTTGGCCCTTTCCCCTTCAGTTTATGTCTCCCATCTCTCTCTCTCTCTGTCTTTCTATCTCTGTCTCTGTCTGTCTCTTTCTATCGCTCTCTGTGTCTCTTACTCTCTCTCTCTGCACGGTGCGTATCAGTCTTTAATTCTCCATTTTTTCTACCGCAGGCTGCTGCCAGCTCCCCTCCAAGCCAGGGATCCATCTCTGCTGAGAACCCTCCTCCCTCCAGAGAAGAACATCAGAGTCTTTGATTTCCTCGCCCCCACTTGCCCCCACGTCTGCTCTGGTCTCAGTTTGCCCAGATCTCCGTCTCTCCTCGCAGTAAAACATCTCCCTACACGGCCCTAGTGTCTCGGTTTTTCTACTCTGTGACGTCACACTGCCTCTGCACACGTTGGCTATGACGCCATCACGAGAAGCAGGCATAGTTGGGGGGGGGGGCGGAGAGAAGGCAAAAACAAACAAACCACAACCCTCAATTGATATCGCGAGGGTTTACGTACTTCATTTCCCAGAATCCTCTGAGCAGCGGAGTGGTAGAGCGCACGCTGGGGCACGCTGGTCTAGGGTGTAGGATTCTTCTAGGTGTATTTCCGGTTTTCTTCGCAGAGGCTGATGGGAGTTGTAGTCCAGGGTCTTGAGATTTCACTACAATTCCGGTCTAGTCAGCCTATGTCTTCCGTTTGGCGGTAGTGAGGTCGCGGGGCCCGCCGGGAGTTGCAGTCCAGCACGCGGGGCCCGCCGGGAGCCGTAGTCCGTCCCGCCTGCCCAGTCAGCGCCCACTTCCCGCCCGGCGCCCGGAGACCACAGCCTCCGCCCAGGGGGATGCGGAAGCCCCTGGCTCGCGGGACCAGAGAGGCAGGCGGGGTGAGCGGCGTTGCCAGGCAACAGACGAGCGGGCGGTTGGGGTACGGGTCGAGGAAGAGGGTTCTGTTAGTATCCGGGGCGGGGGTGGAAAGGGGCCTGGTTGCCAGGCGATCAGAGGAGGGGACCCTGTTGCTTAGTGACCGGGGAGTGGACCCTGTTTGCCACGTGACAAGAAAGAACATGGTCTTTTAGCGACAAGGGGGCGATGGGAGAAGGCTTCAGTTGCTAGGCGACCATAAGAGACCCTGTTACCTAGAGACAGGGGAGGTGGATCCCTCTATTGCTAGGTAACCAGAAAAAAAAAATACTTACCTAGTGAAGTGGGAGGGGTGGCGATCCTCTGTTGCTAGGTAACCAAGGAGGGGGTCCTGTTAACTTAGGAACAGGGACTGGGGGCTTCTTTGTTGCGAGCAGCCAACATAGGGACCCTTTTACGTAGGGATGTAGTGGCATCTTCTGTTGCTAGATAACCTACCTCGGGATGTGATGGGATCTCCTTAGACGCCTAAGACAGACCTTGGTCCCTAAGGGCAAAGGATGGAGGGCCCTCTGGACCCAAGGAGGCCCCTTCAATGGCATTGCCTCTCGGAGGCACTCAGGCTGTGGAGCTTTATCTAGTTCCTTCCTGAAGCCGAGATTCCCCCCACAGGAGCTGAGGGCGGTATGTCCCAGGCCCCAGGAGCACAGCAGAGCCCACCCTCCGTGTACCACGAGAGACAGCGCCTGGAGCTGTGCGCCGTGCACGCCCTCAACAACGTCCTGCAGCAGCAGCTGTTCAGCCAAGAGGCTGCCGATGAGATCTGCAAGAGGTGACCGCCACCTGGCCCAGCCGTGGGCACCTGGAGACACAGTCTCCTCTAGGCAGGGCCAGCGCCCACTGGGGCTAGTCGCCGCCTCCTGCTCGTCTCTGGCCCCCACAGCCTCAGTCCGAGCTCACCTCTCCCTCTCTCATCTGTCCTCTCATTCCTGCCTCCTCACTGGTCTCCCAGCCCTCCAGTTTGACTCCAAAGCTGATCCTACCCCACCCTGCTCAAATCCCTCCCTGTCCCGTTGGGACAAGCCCAGCCCCTCAGCTTGTGATCCAAAACTCTGCATCCCTACCCAACTCTCTTTCTGCCTCTTGACACCACCCTACCCAGCTGCTTATCTTAACCTACTAGTATTGGAAATGCCACAAGTGGGTGTTTTAACAGACAGAAATTTGTTCTCCCAGTTAGGAAGCTAGAAGCCTGAATTGAGGGCACCCAGAGGGCTTTACTCTGTGGCTGTTCCAAAAGGCTCTTATCTCGTTTTCAGCTTCTGTTCCTTGGCGATCATGTGGCCCATACTCTCACCCTCCTCTCTGTACACTTGTTTAGTCTGCTCTGTTAGGTGTCAAAAGAGGCTGATTTGAGATTGACACTGCACTGACACGCGACCCCTCGTCTGCCGGTTTGCCATGATGCTGGAAGCAGCGTCCTCAGTATTTCAAATACTAACAGGGTCACCGTGGCAAACAGATTACATACAGCAGAGCTTCGAGATTAAGAAGCAGACTGGCCATCCAATTCTGAAATTGCAGGTCCTCCGAAGCCTAATGGACAGCAGTGGAGCGTTCACAGATAGAACACCAGAAGGCAGGCCCACTCGGGTTGGGGGCCACTCAGCAGTGGGCGTGAGTGTGGCTCAGAATGTGAGGATGATATGAGAAGACCAGGTTTCGATCATTGTTCACTTGGTCGCTATGAGTCGTAGTGTAATCGATGGCACCTAACAACAAAGCCATCACTAATTCTGCCTCATTTACATAACAAAGCCCATTTATCCAAGTGGAATGATAACCACAAGTGCCCTGACCTACACAGCCTTATGTTCCAGCTCACAGCAAACCCCTCGGAAGGTGTAGAATGACCCATTCGATGTCCTGAGCCGTCTTTTCAACACACATCACTCGGCCTTTTTTTCCTGAGGAGTAGCTGATGGGTTTGAACCGTCCACCTTTTGGTTAGCAGCCGAGCAATTAGTCTTTGTGTCTCCAGGACTCCTTTAGGGTGTACCTATTGCTGTGGCGTTGACTCTAACTCTTAACAACGCTGAAGGGCACAGTGGAACTCCCCTCTAGTGGTTCTGAGACTGGAATCAATCTCTCTCGCTCTGTGTGTGTTTGTGTGTGTGTGATTTGAGTGAAAATTTACAAAGCAAATTGGTCCAACCATTTATACACATCTCGTTTTATGACATCACTGACAGTACTCACTATGCAGCTGCATTCTTCCCACTTCATTCTTGTGATTCTCATTTCCATCAATCCTTCTACCCTACCACTTCCTGCCTTCCGAACTTTATCTCTGGGCAAATGCTGCTCTTTTTGACCTTATATGGTGGCTTATTCTAAACAGTGAGGGCTTCTACTAGTCCCCCCTTAAAGGCCTGTGTCTTGTTTGCCCAAGGCTGTAGTCTCTACAGAAGCAGACGACTTTGTCTTTCTCCTAGGGAGCAGCCGGTGGTTTGAACCTCTGACCTTTAAGTTAGCAGCTAAGTGCTTAATCCCTCCACTGCCACAGGGCCTTTGCACAGCTGTTCTTTCTGCCTGGCATAGTTTCCTCCTCCCTGACATGGTTCTCATTTCTCAAGATTTCACACATTATTGCTTTCTCATCATCTGTCTGTCCATCTCCTCCTTTCTGTCCCTGCAACCAGCCCATACTCCCCTCCTCCTAGCCTGTCTCCTGTAAGGTCCCAGGGGCCCCCAAGCATCTTCAGGTCTAGTCCCAGCCACTCAGACCTTAAATGCAGGAACACCTTGGAAAAACTGTGGATCTGGTTCCAGACTTCTTAAGGAAAACAAAGGTCTCTATAAAGCAAGTCATATAAATTTTTCTGGCTTCTCAGTGCATTTAAAAGGCTATAGCTTATTACTTTTTTTTAATTACTATTATTTTGTGTGTGTACCGGCAAATCAAATCTGACTGGTACAGGAGGAGATTGCCTCTCCTTCTCCAGTGAGCATCTGGTGGATTTTGAACCGCGCACCTCTGGGATTGCGGTTCAGCCTCTTGCCACTAGGCCACCAGAGCTCCGAAAGGCTGTAGCTTATTAAAGGCACCCTAGATGGATTGACACAGTGTCAAAAATCAGTGGGCTCAAGCATACCAGAGCTGATGATGATTGCACAGGATAGAAGAACAGCGTTCAGATCCTTTGTTCATAAGGTCGCTATGAGTCAGACTCAACTCGATGGCATCTAACAACACGTGGCACAGCAGGGAGCTCTGGTGGCTTGGCAGGTAATTAGTCACCCTGCCAACCCAAAGGTGTGCAGTTCAAATCCACCAGGTGCTCCAGGAGAGAAAGATGGGCAGTCTCCTCTGGGGCAGTTTACAGCCAGCCTCTCATAACCCACTGGCGGGTCAGCTGTAGGTTGGTTCCAACTCTTGTAGCAATGACTTTGTTATTTCGCTTGATATTCTTTTAGTGGCATGGGACATTTCCTGTCGGGCTGTTAACCACATGGTGATTGGTTCACATCTACAAGCCAATCCACAGGAGAAAAATGGGAGTCTCCTCCCAAAAAGACTTCAGACTTCAGAAACCCAGTGGAGGGTTGCAGTGGGGCAGAATAAACTCAGTGGTGAGGAGTTTGAGGGTCTGTTACAGGACCTCTCATGTTGCACAGGAGGGAGTAAGTGTTGTGCTTATCTGAGAGGTTGGCAGTCAAATCCACCAGCCTCTCCAAGGAGGAAGATGAGGCAGTAAGCTTTTCTGTAGGAATTACCTCCTGGGGAGCCCTGTGGGGCTGTCCTGTTCTGTCCTCTAGGGTGGCCCGGAGTCAGAACCGCCCCAACAGCATGAGCTTGGTCCTGGTTTGCTGGTCCGTCCAGGGTGACATAATGGAAAGTGTGAGATGTGGTGAGAATCACTAAAATAGGACCCCGAGACGTGGAGTGAAAACTTGCTGTTGGAAAAATGCCACCTATGGACTTGCTGGTCGCAGGGTCACCACAGTCCCATGATTGGTAAAACCTTCAGCATCTGTGAAGTGCAGTGAGATGGGGTCCACCTGTAAGGATCCCAGTGCCTTCGACTTTCAGGTCAGGACTGAGACCCGGAGAGGAATCAGGAACCTGGCTCCCTCAAACTGGACAAGGGAACAGAGACACAGAACAAGAATCCACAGACCTTCCCCACACCCTCCCTGCCTCTCCTCCGCCCAGCCCACCCAGGGCCCCGAGGAGAACAGAGGGGCTGTTGTTCAGACGGGCTGGGCCCAGAGACAAGTGGGGACAGGCTGGGCCTCTGGGGGTTGGGGAACAGCTGATAGGAAAGCCAAGAGCCTGGGACACTGACAGCAAAGCTGGGAAACAGGTGGCTGGAGCTGAGGCTTAGAGGTGAGCAGGGACCACGTGGGGCCTCAAATGCCAAGGTCACAGAGCCTTGAATGCCTGTGTTACAAGGACTCACATGCCAATGTCACGGGGCATCGAATGTCAAGGTCACAGAGCCTTGAATGCCTGTGTTACAAGGACTCACATGCCAATGTCACAGGGCATCGAATGTCAAGGTCACAGAGCCTTGAATGCCTATTCACAAGGACTCAAATGCCAATGTCATGGGAAATCGAATGTCAGGGCACAGGGCCTCGAATGCCAAGTTCAGGGGCTTGAAGCCTATCCTGAGAGTACTAGGGAGTCATGGAGGGTTGCAGGGGAGAGGTAAGACCAGATTGGAGCATAGAAAGCCCTGCAGGGCCTTGTGGGAAATAGGCTGAGGCCAGGGTGAAAGTTCCACCAGGGTGAGGTCTTAGGGTCCCAGCAGAAAGAGCCATCAAGCAAGAAGAACAGGGCCTGGGGGTGGACAGGTTGTGGGAGTCAAAGAGAAGAAACCATCCAAACATTGAGGTGACTCTCCTGCCTTGTGGGAAAAAGGATTCCTTTCCAGAGGACTGCCCAAGCCAGGCTCTGACTACCTCCCCTCCCCATCCAGGCTGGCACCAGACTCCCGGCTGAACCCCCATCGGAGCCTCCTGGGTACTGGAAACTATGACGTCAACGTGATCATGGCTGCTCTGCAGGGGCTGGGCCTGGCCGCTGTGTGGTGGGACAGGAGGAGGTAGGTCAGGGAGTGCTGCCCCACGGGAGCTGGCCTGGTCACAGGGCGGGGGGCTTAGTAGAGGGAGGAGAGGGTGGTTGGGGGTTCGGGTGGGTGGGAGGAAGGAAGATATCTCAGCTTCTAGTGCAGCCATATAAGATGTACCCACGGTGGGCTTCAACAAGCAAGTTCTTCCCCTCGCAGTCTGAGAGTTTAGAAGTCTGGATTTAGGGGGCTTCAGATGCTGGGGGAAAGGAAGGCTTCCTTTCTGCTACCTCTGGAGGAAAGGCCTTGTTCCTGCTGAGCGCCGTTGCTGGGCATCTCGTCCCCCATCTCTGCTGGCCTCATCTTCAGCTTGACTCGAGACAAACCCTCCACATAACCTGCCTCATTGTGTAACAGAAACCCACTCCTACATGGGATTATAACCACGTAGAAGTTGGAATTTATGGCACTTTTTTTTTTTTTGAGGAGGCTGAAGATAACACGGCAGAGGAGAAAGAGAGAACCTCTGCCCAGAATGAGTCCTGTTAGGTGGGGTCAGACATGACTGCTCTCGCCCACTTTTGAACCACTTCTGAAAACAGCCATCTCCCCATGGCTCTCTCTGCTTGTCTGCTGGGTTCAATAATTCACAGCAAGGGCCACGCAGAAGTCACAGATGATACCCACCACCACCATGGGGCTTACTAGGGGAAGAAACAGGCTACAATTCAGGATCAGGAATGAATCAGGATGCAGTTCTTCATCTAAGACAGACTCCTTGCAGCCATGCCCAAAGGCAGGCTTCTCTCTCTGGCCCTTGTCGTGTGAGTCTTTGGAGCCAGCCCAGCCT